TTGTACATTTTTTCGCTTATCTTCGTCAAATATACCCTCTAGCGCCTCAACGGTCTGAGCTGGAGCAAAACGGACAAAATTTTCGCCCTCTGATTTTGATGAGTTACCCCTCAGGAAACCATGAAACTAGCTATATGTACGCCAGACCACGTTTCGCGTAACAGGCTTCGCGATATCTCACGAAACACCGTAACGCTGCGACGCGCCTGGCGCACATATAGCTAGGCCTGCGGCGCTGACACGCGAGACGAGATAGTAGGAGTGAATATACAATCCTTCGGCAGAAAGCCCTTTTTAACGATTTAATAGACCATTTGGCCATTTACACCTAATTTTGGCAAGAAAGGCCCCCTAGCACCCAAACGGTTCATAATAGAGCAAAACGAACAAAATTTCCGCCCAAGGGGTTCTACTATCACGAGTTACCTCTAAGGAGCCCATAAAAAATATTTGAAAAAAATAAATATTTTTCAACCTTTTTTTTTTTGATTTTTTAAAAAGTCAATTTTTGAGCTGTAATGCTCATCTTGAACTGGATCTGTCTTTTTATGATACAAAACGACCCTGAAAATCCCAGATCGCTCTCTCAGTTCATTCTCGAGTTATCGTGCGGACAGACAAACAGACAGACAAACAGAATGAAACTTTTCTGGTCAGTGGAGTAATGGGCTTCGCTAATCGCTCAGCCAACAAAACAGTTAAATGAATCCACAATATTAACAGTGAGGACTGTTAACAGGACTCAAAAGCGTCTTACATATGAGTAACTGTAAGCCAAAGTGAAGACATTGTAAGAGCATCGTAAACTGCTCAGACAGTTCTGTGGTTTTTTCCCACAACGCGAATAGTTCCTACCTGTGTTCATGTCTTATTCCGTGATGCCTCAAGAAAAAGGCCTCTTGTCAAAATCTGAGAGAAATTGGACAATATTTAACCCTCTCGAAGTCGGTTCGAAGTTTAGCACAAGGTAGATGTACGCCAGGCCACGTCTCGCGTAACAGGCTTCGCGATATCTCACGAAACACTGTTACGCTGCGACGCGCCTGGCGTACATCTCAATAGGCCTGCGGCGCTGCGACACTGGAGTCGGGCAAAAGGCAGAGTCGTAAAAAGGTCTCCGGCTCCAAAAGTCACAAATTCTACTCCTAGAGGTTTTTATTTTAAAGAATAATTTCACCAGGGGTTAGAGATAGAACCTAACGGACGAAATTTGGGGCGTACTACACTACGGGTCCTACTTCGACGAATTATACTACTTAGAAAGAGTTCTAACAAAGTATTTCTCAAAAGCGATTTTTGGTCCTTTTTGTTTTTGTTTCTTTTGACACGACAATTTTTGAGCTAGAGGGCTCAAAATTTACACAGTTCTTTCGTTTTATGATTCAAAGTTACAGTTAAAAATTATACGTACGTAGCTTAAACCGTTCTCGAGTTATCGTGATAGATAAACACACACACACACACACTCACATAGACCCACAGACAAACGCGGAACATTTTGAACTTTACACGCTTCGCTCCTAAAATCAACGTTTTAGTGATACTAGATAACTCGCGCGGCTGATCTTGTACCTCAAATGTATGAAATACCCTACCCGATCCTCTCGCATCCCAACGACCCTTTCCGTATCCGATTTTTGTTTGCGGCTTGCCCTGGTCGGGCCCGGCATACTCCTTGACGCACACCTCTCCCCCACAGGGACGGATCCAGGCGAACGTATTCAGACCCGTCACAGGGGCGGCGGGTCCAGGTAGACATGCTGAGACCCGTCGCAAGGGCGGATCCAGGCGAACGTGTCGACACCCGTCGCAGCTGCGGGACCAGGTTGACGTGTTGACACCCGTCTCGGGGGCGGGTCCAGGTAGACATGCTGAGACCCGTCGCAGGGGCGGATCCAGGCAAACGTGTTGACACCCGTCGCAGGGGCGGGTCGTGTCGCACCC